AGCGAAGTTTTCGCAGCCCAGACAGAGGAAGTGGATATGAGTACCAGGGCGGAAGATACCCAAGATCTTCCTCTATAAGCAGGAGCCGGCTGCCGCCATTCACCTTCATGTACACCAAAATATGAAGTCATCTCCAGTCGCGGCCTGAGTGGAGAACGCCTTTGGAATTCACGTGGCCTCCAAACAGCTGCGGAACTTCTTGAATGGAATCACCCATGGATAGCTACCTGGAGACCAGTACTCTTGATCTGCAAGACCTCAAACATCGAGCAGCTCCGGCAACGTCGCTACGGTCCAGGACATCATCTTCACCCCATTCACCAAGGCGCGGGTTGATGGTGTGGACCGGCCGTACCTGGAATGGATGAACCGATATTTTCTTCGTGGGCCCCAGACTGAGGGTGTGCGCTGGTGGCTACATCGAGCAACTCGTGAAGAATATCCTCCTCACATGTGGTCGCCCGTACCTTCTTGGAAACTTTGTACTGCTACAGCATTGAGTGCCACCACATGAAATCGAAGGGCGTTGGAAAAACTTTCGCCTACTTGGAATGGAAGAACGTTGAGTACCTGGAAAAGATGGAGTATTTAAGCGGGGGTCCTGAACTAAACCCCCTCAATTACTCGGTTCGGGCGGAGCTCAACAGGGTGGTCTACAGTGGCGGAGAAATCAACGATCTCGCTCAACTCCGGTACCCACTCACTTTCGCGCGCCGAATCTCTCGATGGCGCTCCTCCAAGAAGCTGTGGCGGAGTATCATTATAGTATTTAATGTGCTCTTTAATATGGTAGTAAAAATGTCCGATAAAAATTTAATAAAGTGTAACTTATAGCGCCTTGAAAGTCATGGAGGCAAAATGACTTTTTTTTGCCCCCCCCCCCCTTCATGTACACCAAAATATGAAGCCATCTCCAATCGCAGCCTGACTGGAGGAAGGCCTATGGAATTCACGTCACCTCCAAACAGCTGCGAGAACTTCTTAAATGGAGTCTCTTAAGGGCAGCTAGCTGGAGGCCGGCAGTCTTGATATGGATATCATCTTCACCGCAGTCGCCAAGGCGCGGGTTGATGGTATGGACCGGAAGTTCCTGGCATGGGAAGAACGATATTTTCTTCTACATGATAAAGCTGAACTATCCCTGAGCCTCATAAGTTATACGATCTTCTTTGGAGAATTTGGTAATGAGAACTCGTTCACAAAACGCCTTTATTGGTGAGCTTTCGCTGTCTTAACAGCTTCGTCAGACCTTAAATGAAATCAAGTATACATGGTATTACAATTCCTAACAACTAAGTTGCTCGAAATACAAACCAGGTTGACCTGCCCGTCAACCTGGTTTGTATTTCGGCTTATCAAGCGGCTATCCCCCGCGATCAACAAGAAGTACAGACAAGTGTCACGCGCGTCACATTTCTAGCGACTTTTAGTTGCATTGGCAGTTGCGCTGGGGTAAGCTGGTCATCCGTTGTAGTTTAATTGTTGACAGTTGCACTTTTCCCCATTGTATTAGGCATTGTATTACAGACTCTAACCAAATTGCCGTTGACGGGCAGGTCAACCTGGTTTGTATTTCGAGCAACTTAGTTGTTAGGAATTGTAATACCATGTATACTTGATTTCATTTAAGGTCTGACGAAGCTGTTAAGACAGCGAAAGCTCACCAATAAAGGTGTTTTGTGAACGAGTTCTCATTATCAAATTTTCCGAAGATCGCATATTTTCTTCGTTGACCCTGGACTGAAAGTGAACGCTGACGGTTACATCGACCAACTCGAGGAGAATATCCTGCCTTCATGTCGTCGCCCGTACCATCTTGGAAACTTCGTACTGCTACAGGATTGGGTGCACCACACGGAATCGAAGGGCGTTGGAAAACTCTCGCCTACTTGGAATGAAGGGCGTTGAGAACCTGAAGAAGAAAAAGAGTGCAAGTGGGTCACGTGACCTTTATCGGGTTTGGGCGAGCTCAACAGGGTTGTCTACAGTGGCGGAGAAATCAACGCCCTCGCTGAACTCAGGCACCGAATCACGGTCGCATGGCAGCATCTCTCGATAGCGTTCGTCCAGAACACTGTGTATTGCTGAATTTGATGGTGGAAATGTTCAATCAGAATTCAATAAAGTGTAACTTATATCGCCTTGAAAGTCGAGGAAGAAAAGTGTTTTTTGCCCCCCCCCCCCCCCCCCATGTAAGTGGTAACATAGGTAACGTTTGAAACACAAAATAGCAACCACACTAACATATAAGAATGCCTCAAGTCCAGCAGAACATTTCTCCTATCGTGAATGTTGAGGGTGACCGTGCCGCGTCTTACCTGTGAGGGTGACCCCGTTTACGCTGAACCTTTTTTCTAGTAAACGGCCCTATGAACTGGGTGTGATAATTAAAGATATCTCTATCATAGAAATCAATACACAACTATCTGTTAGGCTGAATTAGCTGCCATGAAATAAATTACCGGCCTGCACCAGCTGTTCGTGAACCTGAAGAAAAATGTAATGAGCTCAATTGTTTACCGAGGCAAATCACCGTGAGCAGGTCTATGTTTACGGGAGTTTTTGCAGCTGTGAAGTTGTAAATGCTTTCGGGTACGTGTATATCATTTCAAAAGATTCGTTTTTTACTGAATTTAATAATATATTGGTCAGAAGATTCCCATAGGCTAGCTGGAAACTAATTTTTCTATAAAGTGAAAACGACTGCCTTCTGACAAGCCTACAGTAGATATCGTCGCCATCAGTCGGGCGGTATCAAGAAACACCGGGGGCGTTCTCATCAATGAGTGTTTTCTTCCAAAATGGATCACTAACCGATCACTACTGGTAGAAGAAACAACAGAGGCGGGCTCCTTCGGCCCCTGCTGATAACGCTTGGCTGTTTGCGACGAAATCATCGGCTACTTTCGAGTCGATCGACACCGCGAAACAAGGTCATACCGGGGACAGGAACATCATTAATGTTTCAGAGGTAGGTACAAACCAAGCAGCTGAGAAGGTCAATCAAGCAGGAGTAAACGGAATGGCAACGTCATCAAGACCTTTTCTGGCCTCCCTCCGTCCAAAGAGGAAATGCGCACCAACTTTTACAGAAAACAACAACTGGCAATAATCGAAATCGCATTGGAACCCGCGCATGTGCTTTCGTACTTGAGCAGATCACCTAGCAAGTTGGGGATCCTTAGTTTCCGGAATCTCCCCTAAGCTCTTTAGGGTCTCCATCACAAAAACATAAGTTGAATATGTGGCGCACTTCGAAAACTAACTAGTTAGCTCAGGATGCCTTACCCTTGGATTCTTTGACGCACACTTCGTCAACCCTTAGAAAAAAGAAGTGTTAGCAGTCGGCGTATGAAGCTTGCAAGAAAGATACCCTATCAGCTTCAGCTCACGAGCTAACGCATTTAGATGTGTATTTGTTTTACAGAACCACTTTTTGCACTAATACACCGGCATCAGGAAGATGAGTAGCCTGATTAGTGCTAGAACAGTAGCCATGAATCTTTCAGCGTCTTCAGCATCTCTTCCAGGGAATGGGTCACAAATTTCACTTCTAGTTTCAAGTGCAGAATCCCGTCGCATTTTGGGGCTTGACCTGTGGGCTAATGCCGTTTGGACTCCAACAACTTTCGCACCGGGCGGAAAATAAATTGTGGGGGACGTGGTCACGTACTGGGTGGCATCTATTCCTACAGCATCCGCGCGGCACGTGTCGCGCGCGGC